CCAGTTTTTTACAGCTCTGTGGTATAGGGGTTCTTTACTGCACACATACTATCTCTGCAGCAAACCATAGCTTGTTTGATAGGGGTATGGCTAAGGGGCTCTTAAAACTAGCAAGGGGCTCAAATGACAAAATTGCAGTCTGCATTTCAAATGCTCCAAGGTTCAGCAGGGTTTAGATCTAGGGTTTTGGTTCCAGTGTGTATAAAGACAGGAGCCACTTGTGAAATTCAGATCTGGATTCAGAACCTCCCCCAGAAAGGTCAGGACTTAGGTCTGAACCAAAATCCCATCTCAGAGGTCTGACACTGTTTCCGATGGGCCTTACAGTTATGTATGACACTGCGGGTCTAATTCTGCTCTCACTTGCACCACTGCGATCCCGTTGGCCTCCATGTGAGCACACCAATGTAAAGGAGAAGAATTTACCCCTTCCATGAACGACTGATACTTTCAGAAATGCTTCCACAAAAATCTGGGGACCAAACCCAGACGTGGTGTGAGCAAGCACAACTCCATTGACGTCAGTGGAGCTGCCCCTGGCTCCTGCTTACATCTCTTGTTTATGCTGAGTTGCTCATTTGTCACAACATTAGGTTTGTTGAGGCAATGAAAGAGCAGCCAGAAACAAAGGCTTGAAGGGCTGAGGGAGCCATTTGGAATGGAAGTGCTGGTCCAATAGCAACGACTGCAGACTCAGCGGTGGAGAGCATCAGTCATAGACAGTTGCTCGCCATCACTGTCCACAGTCGTTAAACTGGGATGGCTTGTGACACATCCAGCAAATTAACGAGGCTCAGATTCAGGAGCTTCTGCTGGACTAATTACCTATCTGTATATGTGCTCTCGCGATGAATATTGGCCAGCAGATTTGTAACTCTCAGTCGGGATCCGTGTGCAAACAACTCAAGTTGCCAATGAATGACCTGGGATGCGTGACCTGGGATTACAGAACCATTTAAAACTGAAACCACACTGCTCAGATGAATGTGAGGGAGATTTCAGCAATACAAGCATTGGAGTTCCTCCCTTTATTCTGCATGAAACTTTCAGTTCCTTCCTTGTTAATGTTCTCTAACTTCCTGGTCCTCCACTCAGTGATTGGAACTGGAATCTTACGTCACAACTTGTTGCATAAGTAGTACTCAGCCCGTGTGCTAGAACCAGAAGAACTCGTCTGCCCACCGTGCCAACTGAGGCTGTGTGCCCTGTAACACAGCTGATGCTCTGGTGTTTGGGGAGTGGACAAGAGGGCGCTACATGTGCGTGGGCCCCTGTATTTACTGGCTTCAAAGCCCAGACCTCCCTCCCCCCACCTCCTTCTGCCTTCCCACAGTGCTGGCAGGGAGCTCTTGGAGCCCGGAAATTGCCACTCCAGCCCTCCCTTAGGCCACACAGTGAATGAGTGGCACAGCTGGGAACAGAGTTGAGGAGTAGCTGGCATCCAAACCTCAGCTTTAACCCCTAGAAAATACAGGGGAGGGGTGAGAGGGGCTTTAAGCCCTGATCCTCAGGCTGCTCGGCACCAGTCTGGTTCCCATGCTGCAAGTTATAGCAGCCTGAAGGCTGCTCCAGCTTGCACTGGCTGCCAATGGCCATTGGGATTGCCAGGGCATGCAGGAGCCCTAGCAACGTGCCTCTTCAGCCACAACCCTTGTGCCAGAGAAGGGAGAAGGGTGGCATAGGAGCACTACAGAGTCTTCACACCATCTGAGGGTGCCCTGCTGCATCTGGCCTGCTGCCTCTCTAAGGCTCACCCGCTCTGGTTCCCTCCCAGGCCCTTCCTCTCAGCCTTATCTCTGTGAGACATATTCTGCTAAGATACCCCACTGTGGGGACCAGCATTTCAGCTGCACCAGTGGGTGCACAGATGAGGGGCTGGTCGCTATGGTGTGCTGGCCACCATGTGTCTAGATATGGTCTGAGCAGGGTTAGATAATAGAAAACTGCCTTGGCCTGTCTACAGTGGTGCTCTACATTTCTGCCACTGGTGCAGCTCTAGCAGGGACAGGAATGGTGAGCAATGTTAAGTGGAAAAAGGCTAGTGTAGCTGCCCCTCTGTCTCACTTCCTTTGCTCAGGCTTCCCTCTCTGATTCCCTTTCCCCACCCTCCTTCTGGCTGCCTTTCTTCCACTGGCCCTCTCCTGAACTGCCTGAAGGCTATTTCAGTGGAATAGCCTAATCCATCCCCACACCCCTGGTTCCTGCTAGCACCACCCTAATCAGCTGCTGTGCATCTGCTTTTCTGGAGTCAGACCTGAATCGTGGCATCCCATGGCTCAGAGAACAGTTTTACATTAACAGAACTACACCAGAGAACTTCTCCAGGTCATTTACACTCCCGGTTAGGCAGGCCCATGTTTCCCAGGCCTTACAAGCAGCTTAGAGTGGGAAATACCCCAGGCATCAGTTTCCTGCTAAAGTTAGTCAGTCTAGAAATAATCAACAAATAGCAAATAAAATACTATGTTCCCTATTGGGCTAACTCCAGCCGCATTGCCAACCGGAATAGATGGGCTGGGAATGGCCAGATATGGAGGGCTGTGGGAGGAATGCTTGCCCTTGGGGCAGGAGCTGTTCCACAGCTCCAACCCTAATGGTTGGTGCAGTGTGCCTTGTCACCAACACGCCCCCTCCAGAGTGGAGAGGACCCAACAATCCTCCCTTTGACAGATCTTGCCCTCCCCAAATCTATCCAGGCCCTGCTCCATTTAACACACACTTTCTGCATGTTTCTGTATGGAGAGTGTTCATTAGAGTTTCCATAGCAACAATAATTTGCTCACATTGCACATATGCATATTCAACAGGCATTACAGATAACTCCATATCCAGCAGAGCTGGTTGAATAATGACAAAAATGTATTCACAAATCAATGAATCCCAGATTGCTGAAAACAATTCACTAATACTGTACCTGATCCTCTCTGGAACTGGCTGATTAGTAGGAAAAACTTCTTCCCAGCTCCTCCCGTCCCAGCCAAGTTGTGCTTAGCACAAGACCAAGGCAAATACAAAGATGGCTTTAAGCCCCAGATACTGGGGCTGTCCTGCACCAGCCTGGATCTCCAGCACAAGTCAGAGCAGCCTTCAAGTTGCTCTAGCTTGCCCTGGTTGGCTAAGGGGCCATTGTAATCCTTCCCCTGGACTCCGTCTCCTGCACTAGGGGACCAGAACCAGGACAAGCTACCACACCACCAGGTATACTCTTTGCACAGGGGAATCCTCAAGGAGTTGGTTAAACTAAGTCTAGGGGTGCTTTGTGCAGCTGGAACAGCGCAAGGCAGCCAGAGAGGGACCAAGGATTTGGCCCTATGTGCAGTCGAGGAGGCTGTGGCAATCATAACTCTGAATTGGCTATGATCTGTGTAAAATGTCAGCCTTAATTCTTGCCTTTAACAGAAGCTGTTGTGTCTCTTTCCTGCCCCATTTTAGGGCCCTAACAAATTCACAGCCATGAAAAAACGTGTCACGGACTGTGAAATCTGGTCTCCTCCCGTGAAATCTGGCCTTTTGTGTGCTTTTACCATACACTATACAGATTTCACAGGGGAGACCAGCGTTTCTCAAACTGGGGGTCCTGGGGAGTTGCAGGGGGGTCACAAGATTATTTTAGGGGGGTCACAGTATTGCCACCCTTACTTCTGCGCTGCCTTCAGAGCTGGGCAGCCGGAGAGCGGTGACTGTTGGCTGGGCACGCAGCTCTGAAGGCAGCGCCCCATCAAGAGCAGCGCAGAAGCAAGGGTGGCAATACCATACCAGGCCATCCTTACTTCTGCACTGCTGCTGGCGGCAGCTCTGCCTTCAGAGCTGGGCTCCCGGCCAACAGCTGCTACTCTCCGGCTGCCCAGCTCTGAAGGCAGCGCCACCACCAGCAGCAGCACAGAAGTAAGAGTAGCAGTACTGCCCCCCCCCCCCAAAAAAAAACACCCACACACAACTCCTTTTTGGGTCAGGACCCCTACCATTACAACACTGTGATATTTCAGATTTAAATAGCTGAAATCGTGAAATTTACTATTTTTAAAATCCCATGACTGTGAAATTGACCAAAATTAACCCTAAATTTGGTAAGGCCCTACCCATATTGGAAGAGCAGCTAATCAGCTCCACCACCTGCGAGAAGGTGAGGAAATATGTAATCCCCCTACCTCACTGTTAGCTTTAACCTGCACAAGCCCCATCTGCAGAATCCTGAAATATCATTCTCCTCCAAGGCTGAACCCTCACACATGGGCTAGCATGTACTACATCTACATTATCTCTAGCACATCTACCACTGGCCTTCAGAGGATGCTCAGCCGGCTCCATCACCTTGCTATAGGCCACAGAGCTCCATGGGACTGCTCACACTACACTGATACGGGCTATTCACGTGAGTGAAGTCTATAGGATTATTAGGTCCCATTTATTTTTTTTCTTTACATTCAGGATGGTTTACAGCTGTTTGGGTACCTGAATGTCACAATGAAAATTAATGTCTCTGATCTTTAAGAATCATTTGCAACAAACAGCTTATCACCACACCTCCACTCAGCCTCAAGAAATTCCAAACTCTGAGGAAACTTCAACTGAATTGGCACATAATACATTTGTATATTTCCCATTCATTCCTCTTCTTGGGAGCTTCCAAGAGTCTTTTTGGATTAAGGAAAATGCCAGATCTTTCTCTTTCTTTCTTTCTTTCTTTCTTTCTTTCTTTCTTTCTTTCTTTCTTTCTTCAGAAACAAAACATCTAACTTCTCCTTTTAGCTAAGTGAACCGTTCCCCCTCACCTTAGTGTGTTTCAGCAAGTTCATAAAAGCTCAAGGGCCAGATCCTCAGCTGATGTAAATGGGTGACTCTCCACTGAAGTCAGCAGAGCCCTGCCCTGAAGAGCTGAGCCCAAGTTTCAATAAAATGTATTTCTCTAGAGGCTAATGGTTGCTTCCCATCCCTCCTTTCTTTCTTCGATTCCCCCTCCCCCCAGCAAACCGAAGTCCACATCATTTGAACATAAGCGGAGCCTGTAAGCAAAACTGCTCGGCACCGCTGGGGAGCTAGATCTCCCAACAGCTCCGTGCAGAAAGATGCCCTGGGAAACCGTGAAACTACCATGAAACAGAGTGACTTCCCTGAGTCAGTTTCGCAGGGCGAACCGCGCCACGCGCCGGGACTGGGCACTCCGTTTGCGGGATGCGTTCCCAGAGCGGACCGCGTTGCTGGGGGGTTCTGAAGCTGGATTGAGAATCGAATCGGACTTTACAAGGTCCAGAGACTTTGAACAACAGGTGCCGAGCGGTTTCTCCGGCTTACCTGCATGGTGGCGAGCCCGGAGCAGAACCAGTCTCGCGCTCTCCCGAGATCGGGACCGGGGCTGTGCGGACCCCGGGCGGCGGGAGGGAACAGCGGGCTGTGCTCCGTGTCCCTTTCTCTGGCTCAGCGGTTTCCCTCGGGCTCCGCTGCAGCGCCAGGCTCTCCCTCCTCCCGGGCGGGGAAGCAGCCTCCCACGGCGCGGCGAGGTCTGAGACAGGAAGGGAGCTGTCATCTCCCGCACCCGCACCTGCCGGGGGCGTGAGGCTGGGGAGTGGCAAGGCCCTACCGCCGCTCGTCAGCAGCCTGTGGCTGCCCTAAGGAGCCGGGTGCTCAGGGTCCCACCCACCACTTCCAGCGGGAGAGCCTCGTGTCTTGGGGGGGGGGGGAAGAGGGGGATGATTTTCCTGTGTGCTGAGCACCCAGCGCCCAGCCCCCCCCCACACACTTCAGTGGCAGCAGGGAGGGCTCAGCCCTTGGGAGAACCTGACTCCAGGCGTCAAGCCTTAGCCCTGCTGAGGTCAAGGAGCGGTTTTGCCATTGATTTCCTTGGGGCCAGGATTTCACCCACGCCTCTCGAGTTGGGCACCCACAGTCAGCAGCCAGGTTTGCTGAAGGTTGGCCCTGCTGTCATGAAGGGGAGCAGGCACTGGCCAGAGGAGCGCGGCCCTCATCCCCTCCATTCCAGCCTGTCCCATTTTGTTCCTCTTGGACTGGATTAGTAGCCACCATTCTGCCCTAAACCCCCTAGTCCTGGTCCTTGGCTTCCTCCTTTCCTCTGTCTCCCGCCCTGTGCTCTTCCCATGCTTCCTTCTGTCCCTCCCTGCCTCCCTAGGCCTTGCTGTAGCTTTTCCTCTGGATTTTCAGTGGCTGTTTCACCTCATTCAGAGGATCAGAGAAATATAGGATTGGAAGGGACCTCAATAGGTCATCCGGTCCAATCCCCAGCACTCAAGGCAGGACTAGTATTACCTAGAAAGACCATCCCTGACAGGTGTTTTTCTAATCTGTTCTTACAAACCTCCAATGATGGAGATTCCACAACCTCCCTAGGCAATTTATTCTAGTGCTTAACCACCCTAACAGGAAGTTTTTCCAACCTAACTCGTCCTTGCTGCAACCTAACTCGCCCTTGCTGCAATTTAAGCCCATTGCTCCTTGTCCGATCCTCGGAGGTTAAGGAGAATAATTTTTCTCCCTCCTTCTTGTAACAACCTGTGTTCCTGAAAAAAATATTTTGAGTATTTAGAGTGTATGGCACTGTGTCCAAGGTGTGCCATCTGAAATACAAGGTGGTGATTGGGTGGCAGAGAAGGCCTGAGAGCCTTTTAGGGGCCCGGTGAGTCAGGGGAGGGTGGTTTTTGGAAGACTTCTCTCACTCTGGCCACCCACTAGTTCACATAATTCTCATTCCCACATGCACATTCACATATATAGGGGTGGAAATATTATACTGGATATCTGTTCAACCTGATCCTTGGGTTATAGCTCTTGCGGTTAGCACCATGTCAGAGATGCAAAACTATTCTGCCGACTCAGCCTGGCTGCCAGACCAGGTGAATCCTATTACTGTAGTTCCAAGCCAAAAGAGTTTGAAGCCATCTCTGTGATGCAGAGAACAAAAGGGTGAGGATTGCTGGGATCGCCCCAGAACCAGCCAAGCCCAGGAGGAAGCTTAGGTTGAGGTGTATGTTATTTTTTATTTAAGTTAGCAAGAAAGACAAAGGCCAGGAAGGGGTATATTTGCATGCTGTGTTTGGAGCAGGGTGGAATGGGTGAAGAAGAAGGAGTAGCTTTGAAATGTACACACCACACTCTCATACCTCTCACCATGTGTAAGTGTTTTCTGAGTTTTAATTTTATTTTTTACAGAGCAAGAACAAATCCCCATTCTACCTGGCTACAGCACAAGATTTCAGCCACCTCAGTATCCTCCTATCTGGATTCCCTTATGTTGTTCCAAAAGCTACACAAGCTCTCTGAGAGGCGGTAGCAAGTTCGACAGAAGAATTCTTCCATTGAACTAGCTGTGTCTACATCAGGGGTTAGGTCAAGCTAACTACGGTGAGCAGTGCACAAAATTTTCCCAACCCTGAGAGCTGTAGCTAAGTCAATCTAATTTTTTTAGTGTAGACCAGGCCTAAGCAATGTTGGGGATTTCTAGATGCACCCTGGCTTGTGAGACAGCCAGGACTTACAGAGCCTGACTCTACACTCAATAAAGTCAATTTCGTTCAATAACTTTGCCAAATGCCTTTAACAGGATCAGGCCCACAAGTCTGAAAAGAAGAGTTCCAGATTTCCTGCTATGTGTATAGTCAGTTAAGCAGGAGCTTATCTTCCAAGAAGCTATTTGTGGGGATTGAAGGGAGTGAAAGCTTTATTGTGTGTAACCACAGAATAGCAGCAGGGTTATAGGATGAAGGTGTGTGTGTGTGTGTTTGCACAGTTTTCGACAGCTGATAAAGAACGGGACAGCAGTTTCACTTGATAGGAAGGATCATGTTTCCCTTTACATCAGAAGAACAAAATCCAGGTGTGTCTTAAAAGCCTTTAAGCTGTCTTGGTGCACCATCGTTGTCAGATGGAGGTGAAGTGGGATGATGCCATCTCTTCCCAACTGATCCATGTAGCTTCTGAGTTTTTGGAGCTGTTACTGGAAGCAATATCTCCCATAGCTTCCAGCGAGAAGGTAAACATTTTTTTCTTCTTTAAGTCTGGAGGAATTTGGAGCTTATGCAAGTGGCACTGAACAGGCAGGTTTCTTTCTTTTCACAGCTACTCCAGCAGTCAACGTGACAAATTACAATGATGGTGCTCTTCTTTCATGTCCAACATGCCAGGCACAAACTGCCACCTGCATTATCCACAACACTCAGTCTGCTGGATTCCCTACTCCTCACGTGCACAGTCTAGTGCAGAAGTTGGCAGTGGTCGGAAGACAGAGTTTAGCAGGGAGATAGCCCTTAGGGAGGAGAAGGACCTTTCAGTGTCTTGGTGAAGATCTGGGTTTGATCTGGCTGAGTGCTGAGTGTTCTGGAGCCATAGTTCACACATGCATGGAAGTGTTTGATGAACAACAAGGCTCTCCACCAATGATCTCCCAGGGTTCTAAATGAATGAAGGCTGCACGGCACGCGCATGCATCGTGGATTTAGGATGGCACTCAAATATTTAATGAGCTGCCCTCAATCCACAGGAACGTCACAGGAAAGTAATTAAAGTTACACCCCTTCCTGCACATATGAGCCGAGTGGCAAGAGAGGAAGATTAGCCTATGGAAAAGGGGAACTGAGAGCAACTATAGCTCAAATGGTTTCACTGGTGCAAGAGAGGGCCGTTGGGTTGCGGGGGAACTAATTACACCTCCCTGATTATCACAATGTACAAGGTTAATCCTGAGGGCATTCTGCACCAAAAATTTAAGCATTCTGCACACATTATTTTAAAATTCTGCAAATTTTATTTGTCAAAAAAAATGTGGAAGCTCCAGCATGGCACTGGGGAACACAGGCCACCGGCTGCACAGAGGCAGATCACTGTGCAACCCCCCTACCCAGGACATGGATTCAGTAGTGAGGCTGCACCCAATCCTGACATAGCGCAAGGACCGGGTCTGCCCCAGAAACACCACAAAGCCCTGCCCCTCGGCGCAAGATGCATCGGGTGTGGGCAGGCAGGCTCAGCAAGGCAGGATCCAAGTGTGGAAGGGCTTAGTGTGGGGGGACTCAGGTGTGGGTTAAGAGGGTTCTATGTGGGGCAATCTGGGTGTGGGTGGCTCAGTGGGGGATCCGGGTGCAGGGGGAATCTGGATGCACAGGGGCTTGTTGGGGTGGGGTGGTGTGACGGGTTGGATCACAGAAACCCCCTTGGGAGCTGCCACCTGATGTGCAAAGACTACCTTTGTTCCTGTTTTCCCTGCCAGCTCAGGACTCCAGCACCCTGTCTTGCTGAGCCAGACACTCCCGTCTGCTCCAACACAGACCCAGGGTCTGAATCATTTGTCCCAAAGCTGGAGGTTTACCTGAAAACAGCTCACGGAAGTGTGCTTGTCTTTAGCACTCAGATGCCCAACTCCCATTGGGGTCTAAACCCAGATAAATCCATTTTACCCTGCATAAAGCTTATGCAGGGCAAACTCATATATTGTTCACCCTCTATAACACTGATAGAGAGATATGTACAGTTGTTTGCTCCCCCAGGTATTAATACATACTCTGAGTAAATTACTAAATAAAAAGTGAATTTATTAAATACAGACAGTAGGATTTAAGTGGTTCCAAGTAGTAACGGACAGAACAAAGTAAGTCACCAAGTGAAATAAAATAAAATGCGCAAATCTATGTCTAATCAAACTAAATACAGGTAAGTTCCTCACCAGATCCAGAATGCTCCCTTTTACAGGCTAATCTCCTTTTAGCCTGGGTCCAGCAATCACTCACACCCTCTGTAGTTACTGTCGTTTGTTCCAGTTCCCTTCGAGTATCCTGGGGGGGTGGAGAGGCTCCTTCCTTAGCCAGCTGAAGACAAAATGGAGGGGTCTCCCACAGGTTTAAATAGACTCTCTCTTGTGGATGGAGACTCCCCCTCCTCCCTCCTATGCAAAGTCCAGCTCCAAGATGGAGTTCTGGAGTCACCTGGGCAAGTAACATGTCCCTGCATGACTCAGTCTTTACAGGCCGAAGCCATTGTTCACATGGTATCTTGCATGTCTCCAGGAAGACTTCTTATGTGGATTGGAGCATTCCAAGATGCATTGTTCTCCAAGTGTTTCCTGATCAGGTACTTAACCTGGCGAATTCCTTCCTAAAGAAGCTGACCAAATGCCTCCCAAAGCTTACTTAGAAATCAAGCAAGCATACAGCCCATATTCTTAACCTCAAGAAGAAAATAGATATATATATATATATATATATATGTACAAATAGGATGAATAGATATAGTAGACCATAACCTTTACAGAGATATATTACATGGCACAGGCAGCACAAAACATATTCCAGTTATGTCATACATACATTTATAAGCACCCCCTCCCCATAAAGCCTTATGGGGTACACTGTCCCAATAGTGTGCAACTCCCCTATCCAGGACATGGATTCAGTAGTGAGGCTGCACCCAACCCTGACATAGCGCAAGGACTGGGCCTGCCCCAGAAATACCACAGAGCCCTGCCCCTCTGCGCAAGGTGCACCAGGTGTGGGCAGGCAGGCTCAGCAAGGCAGGATCCAAGTGTGGAAGGGCTTAGTGTGGGGGGACCCAGCGCTATGTCAGAGTTGGGTGCAGCCTCACTACTGAATCCATGTCCTGGATAGGGGAGTTGCACAGTGATCTCCTGCCTCTGTGCAGCCAGTGGCCTGTGTTCCCCAGTGCCATGCTGGAGCTTGAAAGAAGGCTGCACGGCACACGCATGCATCGTGGATTTAGGATGGCACTCAAATATTTAATGAGCTGCCCTCAATCCACAGGAACTTCACAGGAAAGTAATTACAATTACACCCCTTCCTGAACATATGAGCTGAGTGGCAAGAGAAGAAGATTAGCCTATGGAAAAGGGGAACTGAGAGCAACTATAGCTCAAATGGTTTCCTGGTGCAAGAGAGGGCCGTTGGGTTACCGGCAGGGCTGGCTCTAGGCACCAGCAAAACAAGCTGGTGCTTGGGGCAGCACATTTTTAGGGGCGGCATGGCCGGCGCCAGAATGCCGCCCCTGCTGCCCCTAAAAATGTGCCCCGGCCGCCTTATCTCACCTCCCCTGCTGCTGCCGCTCGCGTGCCATGGCGCGCTTAGTGTGGTGGAACCCAGTTCTGTGTGGGGCAATCTGGGTGTGGGTGGCTCAGTGAGGGATCCGGGTGCAGGGGGAAACTGGATGCACAGGGGCTTGTTGGGGTGGGGGGGTTTCTGGGTGCAACGGTAATGTGACTCTGTAGGGGGGTCCAGGTGAAAGTGGTTGGGGCTCAGCAGGGAGGTCTGGGTGTAGGGGGCTCAGTGGGGGGTACAGATACTGGGGGAATTGGGCTCAGTGGGGTTGGGATCCAGGTGCAGCGGGTTGGGGATCGGTAGGGGGGGCTCCGGGTGTGGGTGGCTCGTCGGGGTGGTCCAGCTACAGGTGGAGTGGGACTCGTCGGGGAGGGGGTCTGGGTGCAGGGGGGGGGAATGAGGCTCGGTGGGAGGGTCTGGGTATGAGGGTGTCTGGATGCACAGGGGTTGGATGGAGGGGGGGAGCAGCTCCCTGTACAGAGACTGCTTCTCGCCTCCTGCAGCTGAGGAGTGATGGGTGAAGGAAGAGCAGGGACGAAGGGGTAGTTTTAAGAGCTTCCTACAGCTGGGGGAGAAATCTGAGGGGGTGTCTGTCCTGGCCCCGGATGCCGGGCAGGGGAAGAGGAAAACCTGTCCTCCCCAGCCCAGCCGGGACTAGCAGCTGAGCCCGGCGCAGGGTAAGAGCCACCAGCCGTGTCTTCCCCAGTCCTGCCCATGCTCCACAGTGATTTACCTCTCCGCTGGCTGCCCTGGGCACTCAAAACATACTTCTGGGGATAGTTGCTTGCAGAGGTGAAAGTAAGCCAGTCTGGTCTGGTACAGCGTACCAGCAAGAGCCAGTACACCGTGCCGGACTGGACTGGCTTCCGCAGCGGTGATTTAAAGGGCCCAGGGCTCCAGCCGCTGCCGGGAGTCCCGGGCCCTTTAACGCGCCACCGGAGCTCCGGCAGCTGGGCTCGGGTGGGGATTTAAAGGGCCCGGTGCTCTGGCTGCTGTGGGGAGCCCGGGCCCTTTAAATCACAGCCTGAGCTCTGGCAGCTGGGCTTGGGTGGGGATTTAAAGGGCCCGGTGCTCTGGCCACTGTGGGGATCCCTGGGCCCTTTAAAGCACTGCAGGAGCTCCGGCAGCCGGGCTCCTGCAGTGATTTAAAGAGCCTGGAGCGCCGCGGTGGCCGGAGCCCCGGGCCCTTTAATTCATCCCGGGGCTCCCAGACGCCTCTGCAGCTGGTAGCTCCGGGGTGATTTAAAGGCCGTTGGGCTCCCAGCCACAGCCGGAGCGTACCGGTAAGTTACTTTCACCCCTGGTCGCATGACCGCTTTTGTGGCTTCCCCATCAGAAAATCATTTTTCTGCGAGGAACATAAATTATGCGCATGCGCAGTGGCACAGAATCCCCCCAGGAGTAATAAGTTAGAGACATGTAGGGGCTACTCTAGTTCACACCAACTGGCTAAGGTCTGTTTAGCAGCTTTCACCCCAT